TTTATTTATATTGAGTAGTCTAAACGTGACAGTGCATAAATTGTGTAACCATTAACGATTTTAAATATATAGATATAATATTATACAAAAAATGTATAAAAATAAACAGATCAGAATAATAATAAAATAAAAAAAATTTTACAAGAAAATAAAAATTAAATTTGATTGTAATTTAACTATTAAGTTAAAAATCTTTATTTAAAACTTTTTTTAATCAAATAAGTATACTCTATACTTTTAATTAAGAGTATAAAACAAATTGTAACAAAAATTTTGTATAAAATTTAAATTTGTAATTTCTAAGGATCAAAAACTATTAGCATAATTTTTTTTATGAGTTTAAATCTTAAAGACTTGAAACTTTTAAAATAAATATAAAATTTAATACTGAATAAGTTTACTTAGAAGGCTAAGGCAAGTTAACTTAATAAAATAAATAGTTATTAATGTTTTTGTACAGATAAATTTTTAGTTAAGATTTGTATAAAAGATTTGCAAAAAAAATTAATATAAGAACTATTAAAAATTTTACTTTATAATAAAAACTTTTATAAAAAATTTTTAAAAAAAATTTTTATATAGCAGAATAAATTTTATCAATAATAGTTTCTAAAAAATATTTTTTTAGATTTTTTAAAAATATTTATGACAGTTATTCTAAAGTCAAAACCCTAGTAAAACAAAATTTATAAGTAATACTGATAAATTTTTTTACTAAAGTTTTAACCTTAGAATAACTTACCATAAATATTTTTAAAAAATCTAAAAATATTTTTTAAATTTTTTTTTTTTAAAAGTTTTTATTATAAAGTGGAAATTTCAATAGTAAAAATTATCACGTGTTGCATTATTTATAATTGCCAGTGTATCACATAAATTTTGTAATATTTTAGAATTTTACTAAAATTTAATTGGATAAATTTCTAGAATATCAAAATCATGTAATAAACCCAAATTATTAAAACCGGTTAATATTACTATATAGTATGACTTAATAAACCACAAAATAAACGTTTTATAATTTTAATTTTTTTTCTAATAAGCTTAATTAGAAATAATTGTTGATAAAAATTTGAATTTTTTTATGAATTGAAAACTGTTAACGTTAAATTTTCCACGCTCGTTCACACCTTGAAAGTGGCTATAAAAAGAAGATATTAAAAATTCAAATAGTGATCAAATTTGTTCATACCTTATTAAAAACAGTATTATTATTTTAGATTCGTATTATCATATAGCGCTACCTAAAGTGTCCTTGGTCTTATTCAAAACACCCGATTAGCTTCAATAACATCCGGAGGATATTGTGTGAGGAGAGAGATCCGTAGTTGAACTCTGGTAGTGATAATTAGAAGAATACTAACTAATAATAATAATGATATTGCACGATGACCACTCATACTAATATAGATTTGTTAAAGCATTGTTTTAACTACGTATAACTTTATTCCGATGTAAAACCCTATTGCATAAGGATAAAAAGATTACAATCCAAATTTATAGCAATTAACATTAAGTGTAACAGTTAAAAAGACTATATAAAGACTATATTTAGATGATAATTTTTTTCTTGCAACGAAGAAATATATATATGTAATCGTACATGTTGATGTAAGCCATTTACATATACCATTGATGCAGTATTACAAGACATAATATAGATATTATTAAAAAATTTGTACCGTGATTTAATTACGGAAGGATACGTAATACCAAGTTTATAACTATTTACTGTAAACAGTTAACTAATTCTATTTATAAAAACCATAAATAACCAGTAATTTAACTTAGCCTTGTCATAAGGCTTGTTCATAAGCCTCAGATTTGTCATCAAATCTCGTACAATTATTCTATATAGATTTTCTACAACCACTTAGTATAAAAATTTGGATCCGATCGTTTGTTTATTTACAATATTATATTTAGTAAATTTTATATTAATGTTATCTTCTTTTGAACGGCAATTTTATTCCATGCTATATGGTAGATCTATGCCTAATTCGAGGATAAGCTAAACAAGGGATAAGAAATTTATTTTTAATATGGTAATTGTGTCAATAAGAATCAGATAATTACAAGTTATCATCCAATCGTTTCAAAAGTGTAATGTACTCAAAACTCTTCGTGCCTAATGTATGACGATATGTATTTTCAACTTTGCCCCTAATTTTTCAAACACTTGACACCTTCACTTACAGTTGTATTATTATTTTCTGTTCCTTTGGCCCTCCAGTCTTGATTGCGCAACCAACAATTCGAAAGGATTAGCTGGTTTGCCTTTTTTTTTTTACTAACAACAGATTTGTGTGTCTTGTTTTTGCTCATTGAATAGTTTTCAGACACCTCGTAACTTAATACATCATCTCGACCGGGGGGAAGTCCGTGAGAGAACTGACAGCGTATTTAATAACCCATTAAAGCAATAGGGTCTTGTGTGTCTGGCTACCGCTGATCCCTGCTTCCCTCTTTAAACAATTCAGAATCGTCTTCATTTGAGGTTTTATTTTTTTATTTTGGTTTTTTTTTTTTTACTTTCCTTAAAGTAAGTATTATATATATATATTTTAAGAGTTTTGTTCGATAACTTTTATACCATCTTTTAATTTAACAAAATCTTACATATAGCATACTAGGCATTACTAGCATATATCACATAATGGCATTACTACGACACAAGCAGATTTCCATTTTATTTATTATTGTATTATTATTCATCGCAAATGTTGCAAATGTAAATGCTCAAGCATCAGGAGCAGCATCAGCACCAGCACCAGCACCACCACCACCAGCACCAGTAACCCAACCAGCCCAACAACCAACACAACCGGCTCAGCCAGTCGTTAGTGATGTTGTTAGTGTAAGCCTAAGTTTATATATTTATTTTATCAGACTTATATATTAAATATTCTAACATAATATATAACAAGATCACTTAAATTTTTTTACAATTATGTAGAATGTAGCACCACAAATTACGGATGCGCCGCAACCGCAACCGCAACCACAACCAACAGATGCACCAGCTCAACCCACAGTAGCACCACCACAACCCTCGGCAGCAGCTCCCAAGGGAGCAGCAAGCTCGCCAGCTCAACAAAAATCTGCTAACAAGGCCATCACCGTATCTAATAATGCACCCAATGTCATCACCATTACATCTACATCATTATTAGATTCCCCAACTTCTAAATCAAACGTTAATAGTGCCAATAGCAACGATAACACTGGTTCTAGTAGTATTATTACGGCTGCTATCGTTGTTGGTACTGTAGTTGTTGCTGCAGCTATTGGCATATGGATATTTAGAAAATGGAAACTTACGGTATTTTTTTTTTTTACGTTTTTTTTTTTTTTTTTTTTACGTTGTTTTAATATTCGATTAATTAATTATTATTTATTTTTGCAAAAAAAGCCATCACGAAACTTCAAAGAAAAGATTCAACCTGTTGTTGATTTTGGACCACGTTCAGCAGAATCAGATGAAATGTTTTTACGTGGATTACATCATGAACCTTAAAATTTTTTTTTTAAATTAATAAGTATCATATAATTGTGCAAAGATTACCCCGAAGACCAAATCAAGAATTACCAAGATAAAATTTCCTTGTATTTTTTTTTTTATTATTTCATTGTACTTTTATATTATGTATTCTTTCCAACAAAAAATTAAGCTCCATCAAACATTTAAATAGTAATATACATATTAGAATACATTAGTGAGATAGGGGTTTTATTCATTATACAAAGGAGCAGCAACATTATTTTTTTCCAAATAATGTATTAGTTATTTTTTTTTTAGTTTAGGAAAAAAAATTTCCATACAATGTAAACTTGTTGGAGAATTAATTATTTATTTCAAGCAGGTTGTTATGATAAAGAATTTTATAATGCTTAATGTTTATTACACTTTACATGAACATAGTAATTTTATTATGTTTTTTTTTTCTTCACGAATATATAAAATAGATATATAAAAAACAAATTACATTGTTTTTGATATTAACAAGGTGGACTCATGAAAACATATACATTGACAATTTAATGTGCCTTATCATTTGAAGAATCATTGATAATGAATGGGATTTGATCAATCCTTTGCATAAATGTCAAAGATCGTTTTATTAACTATATAGAAAGCGGAAACTATTAATATCTGATATTTAATGATAATCATTAATATACATATTATATACTTGATCAGTTTAGTAAATTATTATTTAGTAAATATTACAAAATAACACACCCGGACGTTATTTCGAACTTATCCGAAATATCTTATGTGATCGCTGAATGATTTTCATTTAACTTATTTGTGCCATTCCATAATACGTATGAAATATGCAAATTTACACTCAACCCATAAGAAACGAGTATATTTTCATATTAGGAATGGTCAAATAAAATTACATGAAAATCATTCAGTGATCTTAAGTTTGTATGTATATGATAACTGGACGAATACGTGACCTTCGGCTAATGCCATAAGCACTATATCTTAGTGAATGTTTAATCTTCTGCAAAAGTAATGTAGAACTATTTTCACTTATTAGTAAAGACTAATTATCGAAGAATTCGGGTAATAGGAAAATTTGTTACTTTGACAAGACATCATTAACGAAAATACATAGCCAGTTGATCTAATGAATGTCTTAAAACGGACAATATACGTACGTACAACTTTTCATTTTTAAATATTATTCAGAAACATAATATTGACCTAATAAGTTAGCTCTTAAGAAGTGAAATTATTTCGAATGAAAATAATAAAGATTGATAAATTACGATTTATACGATTTTTACACGCATTGTTGCACAAACAATAAAAAATGATTGACGACACACATTATAAACTGGCGTTTGGTAAAATTAAATGTATATTTGCTACAAATTTTAATTAATGAATAATGCCAATCTATTTCTCTAATTCTCCTATATCTCCTATTAAATAGACTATTCATCAACTTTTGGCCACCAATCAGGTACAAATGGTTTTACTTTGTATACCTCCCCTTGTCCACTAGCCACAATTAAATTTTCGTCTTGAACTTTATCCAAATTTAATAACGCTAATGCAATGTTATGACACGAAGATCCTATAGCACCTATCGGACGACTTTTTTTACTTAGTGTCTCTATTGATGCATATATGCCAGTTGAAGGTGGGGGTAATGGAAAATCTACAGTACGATCAACTTGTAATGTAGTCGGTAAACTGATGTTTTTATTTATATTATATATTAGTTTTTTCTTTTTTTTTTTTGCTAGTTTATATAATCAATTAAAAATTTCTTAATTACCTTTCATCTTTATGAACTAATTGCACGGGAATAATTCGTTTCCTTGTTACACCGACATGATAGGTTCGAAATGTGAGTTCTTGACCAATGTAACAACCTTTATGCCAATCAACTTTTTTTAAAAAAAGAAATTTGATTTAATCGTATTAATAAAATACGAAATGAATCATATGATGTATTCGTGTGCTACTTACTTCCTCTCATGTAATCAAAATTACATTGTAATGGTAATGGTGATCCCGGTGGTAAATCATCAATCCCTTCAGGGATACCATACAAAATTCGTCGAATTTTATATTCGTTTGATGCCAATTGTTTAAACGATGATGGAACTGATGCTAATAGTAATATAAAAATAATTATTTTATACAAATATTTGATTTAATATAACTTCTAATCAGTTTCATAAGTACTTACGTGTCGTGTCGAATGGCAGTACGAATCTCAATCCCAGATAAGGACACCTCTTATCCTTACACCCTATTTCAGCAATCCTCTCTTTTAAAACCAAAGATCCTATTGGTAATTTTGTGGCTGAAGGATTGGGTACTTGATATCGCCACCATAGATTATCTATATTTCCTCCCCACATATTCCAAACATTATATTGAGATGATACGTCAATAATTGAAACTTTGGATCTGAGAACGTATTTTTTCATGTGTTTTATAAGATCTGATACAATTCGAGAATCACATTCTACCAAATAGATTTGATGTGGAAATGCTGTACCCACGTTTTTTGGATAGACAAACGTGTCGTATAGTACGCGACCCTGTTCATCAAATTGTTTTTATTAATACATGATTTTTTTTTTTAAAATTCTTATCAATTTATTGATAAAAGAAAACTTACAACTGGATTCAAAAACGCTGAATAAAATCCATCTCCACCAGATTGAATTGATGGCATATGATTTGTTATTAGTCCCTGCAAAAATTTTACACTGTCTTCGCCATTAATTTCTACCAAACCACGATCAGGCACTTGAACATAATGATCGCTTTGTAAAGTTGACACCGAGACTAGAATAATAAAATATTTTGTTTATTTTTTTTGGCTAGTACTTAAACGGTCTTGTAATAAACTTACATTGTCTTTTTAACGTCAAGCTACGAGCCAATGTTTTCCATTTATACATTGTCGGTGTCGAATGCAATAATAAAGTGTTGTCATTTTTCTTGACATTAAGATTTGATTATCAGTACATTATACATTTATAGACATAGATGATAAAAAATATTCACGGGATAGGTTTATTGTTAGGTAACTCATTGAAATTAAAAAAGGCAATGATAATATATAACAAATTGTTCTTATACAATACAGATACGATATAGATACAGGCTTAATATAAATTATGATGCCCTTTTAGAAATTTAAAGAATAAATTATAACAGTAATAGCATATTACATCAAGTAACTTTATATCAATATATCATCAATTTTATAAAATATTCCATTTGTTGCATCTTTTGACGTCCTAGTATTCGCTTTGTCATTCAATATGAAATTTCCATCAGTACCCTTCTTAACTCTGATTTTTGTTCCTTCAAATAAAGTATCAAGCTCATCTCCACTATGAAGTTTTAATGACTTTGGAACAATATGTGACAATACAAATTTACGTATTTTTTCTATAGGATCTTCTGATGAACTAGTCACATAACTAGGCTTATTCGTGGTATTATGGAACACTGAATTTATGGGTGCAAACAGTGTTAAAGATTCATCTGGATTATCAAGCATTTTAATCTTTTTAAATTCAAGGATTTCGTTGAATAAATAGGTTTGAATAAATAGATGAATAAAAAAAAAATTATTTGTAAATATATTTATATATTTTATATATGTGCATAACAATCAAAGAAAAAAAATACATACAATATCACCAAACATACGTAAATAATCCACAAAAGTCGTTAAATCTTTTTCCATGGGTAATATATCATTTAAGGTAGAAGGTCCTTGAGGAATTGAATAATCATTTATTTTTATATTTAACATGTTTCCTTCAAAACCCGTATTATCATAAAAGTATTCAGGTTCTATTAATTGTGCCCAAGAAGTTGATAATATAAGGAAGTACGTTAAAAAAGTTATAAGTGTCATATTTCATCAATTTATTTTAATTTGTTGGATTTTTTTGAACTTTGTCGTTTTTTACCGTTTGGTCGAAAAAAAAATTCGGTTGCTAATTTTATCGCAAAAATCAGCAATACGTACAAATATAAATATATATATATAGATATATATATATATAGTGTGATTTAGCCAATTTCCCACAAAATTTCGTAATTGTTACAGTACTCATGTGATATAATACTGTAACAGTAATATAAATATGGCGTACGTACGGAAAATTTGCCCGGAACGCCTTATAAACATTTCTTTTTAAATGTTTTAGTCAAAAATGTTATGATTTGCCTAAATGGAGGAGAGCGAAGTGAATGCTTTCAAACTTTATTCCACTATTTTAAAGATACCCAATTTATATATATATTTTTTTTTAAAAAAAAAAAAAATTTAAAAAGAGTTTGGGGCACGGAAAAAGTTAGGCATGGCCTTGAGTTTCTGATTGGCTAATAAATTCAACTATTTATACAGTTTAGAGCGTCTACTATGTCCAAGACTTTTTTCGACCATGTTCAATGTCCAAACGTTCACATGTCCAAGAATGTCCACAGCATATACAAGCTCTAAAAATTAATATATTAATTTAAAAAATATATAATTATATATTTTTTATCGTGCTGAATATTTTTATTTAAAAAGTTAAAATAGATTAACTTAATAGATTAACTTAATAAAATTTAGAGTAATTTTAATTTATTTATTTGTTTAAAAAATGTTCACAAGTGTTCAAACCACGTCCACAACTGTCTTGTGCCAAAACTGGTTTAGGGTACTTTTTAAAAAACGAAAACTGATCATAATGAAATAAAAAAAGCTGTATAGAAGGTTTTATTAGATCTGTTTGTTTAAAAAAATTAGTATTGTAATAACTTCTCAAAACCCAACTTATTACTAAGTTAATTTTTTTAAACAGACGATAATTAGATCTTATTTTTGACTATGGAGTCCTACAGATCTAATGAAACCTTCCATATGATTTTTTTTTTACTTTATTATATTTGGTTTTCATTTTTTTAAAAAAGTACTCTAAATTGTATAAATAATGTAAAATTAAATTGAATTTATAAGCCAATCAGACGAACTTCTGCCTATGAGACGGAAATAGTAACAGCGGAGACCGTTAAAGGTATTCTTAAAACTGAACCAATTTTAGAATTAGGTTTCTTTTTGCTAATTGTTATAATTGCATTATTGTCTTTTTTCCTTAAAGCTTGAATCGATTCTTAATTTTTTTTCATATTACAACTATTTTATTTTTTTTTGTAAAAACTGTTTTATATAATATATATTAATTACTATAATTAAGTTTTTTTTAAAATCAGATTATATCTTAAAGTAATTTTATTCTTTTTTTTATATTAATTTGTTTGATTATTCTATAACTTATTTCTAATTTTTACAAAATTTTTTAAAGTTTATTTATTTTTATTTAGATTTACTTAATAAATTTATTTTTAATTTTTTTTAATTTTTTTTATAATTTTTGTATATTGTTTTTTTTTGATATTAAGATGAGATCATGTTTTTAAGTCTTTATTAGTATATGTTATAGTTTGTACAACTACATATTATTATATAATATTTACTACTTTATATATATATTTATTTGAACATAAGACTCAGATATATTTATTTGTAATTTATATTTACTAGAAGTTTGTATTATGTTTTACTTATATCCAACTTAAATTTTTGCTTTATATTTATAGAAAATTTTAGCCAGAGATGGTTAGCTTATACATCTTTAGTATAAAACTATGTTTAATCATATGATTTTAGCTAGGTTTGGGATTATATAAAGTTAGAGTAAAGGCAAGTTTTATAAGTAAAATTGTCTTCATAACATTTTTAATTAGTACTTCAAAAGGGTGTGACAACCTAGTAAAGTGGATAGGTTGTCAACTCTCAAGTGGCAAGTCTAAGATTCAATTTTCACAGATGATGAATTTTGAAAATTATATCTGTGTTACAGTAACTGTCTCTTGCTGATCGGTTAGGTTTTGGGCATCTGTAATCTTAGGTACACCAAGTCAGGTTCCACCTGACATTGGAAGCTCAGGGCATCTATGCGAAGTGTAAAGTTACACAGTATATGTACATAAAAGAATGTAAAACCAGTGTCATATAAGGCTTTGGGCAAATCTACGATAAGACTACCGAGCATAGAAGGCTAAGAAACTGAAAAGACAGAAACTTATTTGGAAATTCTGAGTAAAGAAGTAGCACAAACTTTTGATAGTGCCATTGGACTGATGGAAGCCTATAAAACACCTTCATAGGAACTGTTGGATAAACTGGATAACAAAGATGTGTAAAGAAGCATATGATCAACCAGACTACCAGAATTGCTGAAGGAAAAGGATACATAAGTATATTATATCAGGCCATCTGGATTGGAAGTCTGAGAAGTCAGTTAGTTCCAAGTTGTGGCTAGTAGGAGATGATGAAGAAGAAGTTGGAAAGATGAATACCAAGGTTTGGATGAACTTTATAAGACTAATAGTAGTTTAAAGAATAACCTTGACTGCAAGTGTTGATCTTAATCATAGCATCAAACCAGGTTAGCGGTAAAAGGAAATATAGCTCATTCTGGTAGGTTTACTTTAAGAATAAAAATAGTCTAAGGATTATAGTCCTATGATTGATAACAAATAGATCCAGGTCTGTGACCTGGTAAAATTAATACTAAGGTTAGATTAGAGGGTTTAAATAAAACATCTAAGTAGAGGTGTTAGGTACGGCAACTAGTGGGGAACCCTCAGGTGGACTTCTTAAATAGATAATATAGAAAAGTTACACATGTAACCAGTTGTACACTCATCTAATAATTTATTATAGATATATCTATATAAAATATGTACCTGTTATAAGTATTAATAAAACGCTCAGACCAAAGAGGTCACCTTAATACCAAAAAAAAACAATATACAAAAATTA